AACAGAGCGAAAAGGCAACCTACAGAATGACAGGACAGATGTGCAAATTACATGTGAAAGAGTTCCCATCTAGAATAGATAAAGCACTCTCACGATGCAACAACAAAAACCCAGCTGATGCAGTTCAAAAATGTGCAAAGGATGTGAATAGACAGTCCTCCAAATAAGAGATGCAAATGGCCAATGAGCACATAAAAAGATGCTTACCATTACTAATTATTAGGGAAACAAACCTAAACCACGCGGAGAGGCTGGGCATGATGGCTCACACTTGTAATTCTGGCATTCTGAAAGGCCGAGGTGGGTGGATAACTTGAGGTCAGGAGTTTGAGACCAGCCTGGCCAACATGGTAACACCACATCTCTAATAAAAATAGAAAAATTAGCTGGGTGTGGTGGCATGTGCCTGAAGTCCCAGGTGCTTGGGAGTCTGAGGCAAGAAGATTGCTTGACCCGGGAAGCAGAGGTTGCAGTCAGCCAAGATTGCACCACTGCACTCTAGCCTGGGTGTCAGAGAAAGACTCCATCTCGAAAAAAAAAAAAAAAGAAGAAAACCTACATTGAGAGGCTACCTCAGACACATTAGGATGGCTGTAATCAACACAGAAAATAACAAGTGTTAGCGAGGATGCTGAGTGGGTGGAACCTTTGTGTACTCTTACTGGGAGTTTGAAATGGAGCTGCACCTACGAAAAACAGTATGGCAATTCATCAAAAATTTAAAAATAGGCCAGGCACGGTGGCTCACACTTGTAATCCCAGCATTTTGCAAGGCCGGGGCAGGTGAATCACTTGAGGCCAGGAGCTCGAGACCAGCCTGGCCAACATGGTGAAAGCCTGACTCTACTAAAAACACAAAAATTAGCCAGGGGTGATGGTGCAGGCCTGTAATCCCAGCTACTCGGGAGGCTGAGGGATAAGAATCACTTGAACCCAGGAGGCAGAGGTTGCAATGAGCCAAGATTGCACCACTGCATTCCAACCTGGGTGACAGAGTGAGACTGTCTCAAAACAAAGAATTACCATATAATCCAGCATTTCCACTTCTGGGTATGTACCACCTACAATTCAAAGGGCCTCACACATTTATACACTAATGTTCATAGCAGCGTTGTTGAGAGCAAATTCTAACGTGTGTGAAAAATCATATTGTTTGCTGAGAAATCCTATTGAGAGCAGCAGCAAGGAAAACCTAGTTGGCCCCTCAAAGCAGAAAACTGCCCCCAAAGCAGAAAACTGCTCAAAGCGTTATAAAACCGTAACCAATATAAGAATGTCTCACGCCAGATGAATTAGTTCTTTGAACACAGGATATGTGACCGTTTCATTTGTTCCCCTGTAAAGAGCTCTTTCCAGTTTGTATTGAACCTATAGTAAACACACACAAGCTGCCTGGTTAGTTTACCTTTAACCAATGAAAGAACACAGAGCATCTGCTTGTAAAATTTGTCACTGGAAAGTCAAGAATAAATACATAGGGCAGAGTCCGCTCTGGACTCTCGGCTGGAAATGCTGTGAGACACCTGGTGCTCCACTCTGAATGCACTTTTTCCTCTCTATCTCTGTGTCTGTTTCTTAATTCCTTCAGCGCTGCCTGGGTTGCGGCCTCCATGGCTGAGCTGGTCTTGGCACAGCGTTATTCATAGCAGCCGAAAGATGGCAGCAATGCAAGTGCCCACTGACAGACAAACAAACAAATGTGGTCTCTCCATATAGACAAACATTATTCAGCCTTAAAAAGGAAATTCTGACACATGCCAGCACCTGGATGAACCTTGAGGACACTTCACAAAGTGAAATATGCCAGTCACAGAAAGAAAAATGCCGTATGATTCCACTTATGTGAAGGACCTAGAGTAATCAGATTCACAGAGACAGAAAGTAGACTGGTGGCGGCCAGGAGCTGGGAGATCAGTAATGGCTTATTGAATGGGGACAGAGTTTCAATTTGGCAGGATTTAATGGGTTCCAGAGTTTGGCTGCACAAAAATATGAATGTACTTACACTGAAGTGTGTACTTTAAAATGGTTACGGTAAATTATTTGTTCTTTACCATATTAAAAATTTTTTACATTAGAAACGTGTATTTACTGAGCACCTCCGTGCTGGGCATGATGATAAGATTATGAACACCATAGTTATAAAGAACGCTCTTAGGGAGGTAAAATTCTAAATGTAAAACTAACATAGACAGACAATAATAGACACAGACCCACAGGGCTCAGATAGTAGGCTTCTTAGAGATTATACATTTCAAACTAGAAATTATTAAAATTACTCAGCACTAAATTTGTAGTTTAGTAATTAATTTAGCCAATCAGCTAATTTACTAATTACTGAAAATTACATACTGAAAAAGAACCAGAATATAGTAGAAAGAGATGACAGAAAAGGCCACCTAAAGCCCATCTTTCAGAAAGTTCTCTTAGCAGATGAGGGATACAAGGGCACTTCCTGGCCAGGCGTGGTGGCTCATGCCTGTAGTCCCAGATACTCAGGAGGCTGAGGCAGGGGAAACGTTGCACCCAGCAGGCAGAGGTTGCAGTGAGCTGATATTGCACCACTGCACTCCAGCCTGGGCAACAGAACGAGATTTCATCTGAAAAAAATTAAAGAGCAGGGTGCGGTGGCTCACGCCTGTAATCCCAGCACTTTGGGAGGCTGAGGTGGGTGGAACACTTGAGGTAAAGAGTTGGAGACCAGCCTGGCCATACCCCATTGCTATTAAAAATACAAAAATTAGCTGGGTGTGGTGGCAGGCATCTGTAATCTCAGCTGCTCAGGAGCCTGAGGCGGAATTGCTTGATCCCAGGTGGCAGAGGTTGCAGTGAGCCACTGAGCTCCAGCCTGGGTGACAGGGTGAGACTCCATCTCAAAAACATTAAAGCCCATCTTTTAAACAATTCTCCCAGCAGATGAGGGATACAAGAGCACTTCCTTACCCTGGTAGCTCTGAGTGTCCAGTCTGTGTCCTTGCCCACCACACTTGATGGGGAAACAGTAGAGCAGCCTCCACTGCAAGCTGCACTGAAGATCCCACCCACACAGTGAGAGTTCCCTTTAGCCTGCACTTCGGGTTGGTTGCATCCCAAACTCTCAATGCATCGTGTGCTAAGGTTCCACCCTCCCCTTGGCTGGGAAGTATGTCTTGGTCTTCTGTCTCCGGGTGCTGGTGGCGGAGCCTGACATGGAGTGAGCACTTCATAGACGCTTGTTCAATTTCCTAGGTACTCAGCAGGCTGGGCCTAACACCACTGCCTGCAAAGGTGTGGCAGGTGTAGGGACTCATCAACCCATCCCTGCTGCTCTTACAGAAAGAAGAGAGGAAGATGGGTGGGAGTGGATGGAGAGTTGTCCTTTTAATAAGGAGGGCCAGGAGCTGTAATAAGGGCCCCTCTCCTCTGGGGCCCATAGCCTGGCCTTACTTCTCTTCTCTCTTCTTTACAGTTTGAGATTTCATCTAAGCCAGCACTAGGCTGCCAAAGACTTCAAACTCTTTCACCTTCTACTCTCATTCCAGCTCCTTGACAAGGGCAAGATTCTTGGCTGGGATAGAACAACCAGCATGGAATGCCGGGAAACTCAGAACAGCATGTGCTTCACATGCAGGGAAGAGGAGCTGTTTGCCATTGCACTCAAAATAGTTCTGAGGACATGAAACTCTCCCACTGGTCTGGGTAATTCTCTGCCTTCCTCCACATCTCCACTGTACATCAAGAGACAGCTGGGCCAGTGAGTCCCAGCCCTGTAGAGAGAGATCTACCAGCTCCTGTTCATGCCCAAGGTATTTATTCACTTATTCAACAGCCATGTGGGAAGCCGCCGCTTCAGAACACTGTGCACAGGGGGACACGAAGCCAGGTTCTCAGCTGCATGGTCCTCGCATTCCCTGCCTGATCCAGGGATCTGCTGAGGCAGGAGGTTCTTTGAGGGAAACTAATAGCTCTTCAGAAGCCCAGGTAGAGAGCTGCTGTCTTTAGTGTAGACACACTGGGACTGAATGCTTTGGAGGGCCTCTGTTGTGGTAGGGGCCCCTGTGAACTCGGGCCCCCAGGCTAGAGCATTCAAAGTTTTTTTTTACTTTCTTTTGGAAAATAACTTTTTCCTTTGAGTTTTCAACTAAAAAATAAAGCTAGCAGAATCCAAGAATGTGTCTCTGGATTGCTGGGGCTGATCATCCACTCAGGAGTTGGGGAGACGTGGGCAGCTACGGAATCTTCTCAGCAATAGGGGGTGCTCTCAAGCCCTCTTTGGGCTGAGTCTTTGGTAGGAGATTGTAGGGTCCAGATTCCAGAGCAAAGGGCCAGGTGTCAGCCACGGAGACTGAGGCAAGCTGAGGGCCAGATGCCAGACTTGGCTGTCCCTGACCTCCCCACCCATGAATCCCTGGTGCACTGCAGGTGCTAGATGAAGTTCAGAAGAAAGAACTCCAGGGTAAATGGGAATGAGAAGATTGGTCCTCCACATTTCTACCCTGGAGGGAAGAGAAGGCAGGGTGGCTGGGATCTGAGTGTTTGCTATGGTTACAGCCTAAAGACCCCCGAGCCCAGGCACTGCTCCAAGTACCTTGAAAGATGTTTGATCTTCAGCCTTACAATAAATAGTCCAATGAGGAATAGATGATCTCCTCAATGAGGAAAAAAACAAAGACTGGTAGAGCTGAGGGGATTCCCCCAAGATCATACAACCTACAAATGGCCAGGACGGTGCTGATGCGGGCCTGTCTGCCTCCCAATGCTGCTCAAGCTTGATCATCCCCCACCACTTCTGCTTTTGCATTAATAGCCTTATGCCACATATTCTACCAGTCACTTTATGAAAGAAAGTCAAGTAAACTTTAGCCATTTCCCAAGCCATAATAGGTAGCTCCTGTTCAAAACACCCTGTAAATCAGGTCATGCAAGATCAGATATGCACCCACAACTGTTACAGGTGCTGTGCTAGCCACTGTTTTGGGTAACTCAGCCTAGGAATATGAGTGAAGAGACAACTCACAAAGAAAAGCAAATCACTGGCATGGAGGGGGCCCTGAGCAATTCAGAGTCAGAGGCAACTAGAGTGTGCAGCCACCTGACCTGCTGCTTTCCCAATATGCTTAATGGATCCATGATGTCGGGTCCACAGAGGAAATGCAGAAGCCTTTCCTTCCTGCCTCCCACACTCTGTGGGTCAAGTATTTACCAAAAACACAGCAGTGGACTGGACACCAGCAGAGATACAAAGAGGGAAAATAGTTCTCCCTTCTCAAGGCAGGTTGGACAACATCAATATTTTGCAGTTAGGATGTGTGGGTGGAGTGTGTGTGCATGCCCAGAATTTAAAGACAAACAGATGGGAGAGGGAATGATTCCAGCAAAAAGACCAGTAAATATTCACATCGACAACATACACTGAACTGCAGCCTAGACAACATAGCAAGGCTCCATCTCTACAGAAAATTTAAAAATTAGCCAGGCATGGTAACACATGCCTGTGGTGTCAGCTACCCAGGAGGCTGAGGAGGAAGGATCACTTGAGCCCAGGAGTTTAAAATTACAATAAAGTGTGATCACATCACTGCACTCCAGCCTGGGCATCCAAGTAAGGTCCTATCTCTAAAACAAAACAAGATAAGACATTTACATAAAAATCAATGAATAAAAATCCAAAATAAAATATCAGCAAATAAACCCCACTGGGGCTTCAAAAAAAACTTACCTAAATCAAGAGAGACTTGTACAGTGTGAAACAGATGGCTCAAAATTAGAACTTTTCATTTTATTTATATTAATGTTGAAAATCATAATCATCATAGATGTTGAAAAGGCATTTGACAAAATTTACTACAAAATTTATGAAAGAAACTTACCAAATTAGAAAGAGGGATACTTCCTTAAATTACACACAATAAAGGAAATTACACCCAGACGCACACCCATCAAGCCAAAGCCCAGCACCATTTGTAAGCAATGGAAGCAATAGAAGCTTCCATCAACCTTTGAAACAAAAGAATGCCCTCTGTTACCACTATTATTTTGGAGGTCCTAGCTCATGAAATTAGGCAAGGAGGAGAGTAAGACATTAAAGAAAAAAGCAGGAGGTAAAATCATTATATTTACTCTGAAAAATGAAGCAGACAGATTTTGCTAAGGAGTTAGGTACAAAAGGAACGTACTAAACAGTCTTCCTTTTTCTTAATTTTTAAACTATAGAGATGGGGCTAAGCCCAGCTCATGCCTGTAATCCCAGCGCTTTGGGAGACCAAGGCAGGCAGATTGCTTGAGGCCAGGAGTTCGATACCAGCCTGGTCAACATGGCAAAACTCTGACTCTACTAATAATACAAAAATTAGCCAGGTGTGGTGAAACACATCTGTCATACCAGGTACTCGGGAGGCTGAGGCACGAGAATTGCTTGAATCTGGAAGGCGGAGGTTGCAGTGAGCTGAGATCATGCCACTGCAGTGCAGCCTCACTGACAGAGCCAGACTCTGTCACAAAACAAACAAACAAAAAAAAAATAGGCGTGGTGGCACATGCCTATAATCCCAGCTACTGGGATGACTGAGGCAGAAGAATCACTTGAACCTGTGAGGTGCAGGTTGCAGTGAGTCAAGATCATGCCACTGCACTCCAGCTTGGGCAACTGAGTGAGACTGTCTCCAGACAAACGAATAAATAAAAATAAAGTATCAACATCAGTGGCTCTTTGTATACTCACAGAATGTTGCATCCACCACCACCACCATCGATTTTTAGAACATTTTCATTTCCTCAACAGGGAACCCTGTTATCCTTAGTCATCACCCCTCCCAATTCTTCCTTCCACCCCCAGCACTAGGTAAGCAATAATCTGCTCCCTGTCTCTCTGGATTTTCCCATCTAGGCATTTCATATAAATCGGATCATACAATATGTGGCCCTTGGTGACCGGCTGCTTGGACTTGGCATACAGTGTCAGGCTCACCCACATGTGGCCTATGTCTGTGCTTCATTCCTTTTCACTGCCTTATTGCCCAAGTGGTGTCATAAGCACTGCAGGTGAACTGTGAAATGTAAGGATGTGTGTTGTAATTCCTAGAACAATTGCTAAAGAAAGCACATATAGCCGGGCACGGTGGCTCAAGCCTGTAATCCTAGCACTTTGGGAGGCCTGGGCGGGTGGATCACGAGGTCAACAGATCGAGACCATCCTGGTCAACATGGTGAAACCCCATCTCTACTAAAAATGCAAAACATTAGCTGGGCATGGTGGTGCATGCCTGTAATCCCAGCTACTCAGGAGTTTGAGGCAGGAGAATTGCCTAAACCCAGGAGGCAGAGGTTGAGGTGAGCCGAGATCGCGCCATTGCACTCCAGCCTGGGTAACAAGAGTGAAACTCTGTCTCAAAAAAAAAAAAAAAAAAAGGACATATACCTAAAAACATAGAGCAAAAAGATACAGCGAAAAAGTCACTAGAGATGAAAGGATATGTGAAAAATTACTCCATTTATCCAAAAGGAGGCAGAAAAGGAAGAAAAAAAAAAACAAAAGAGAAATAGGCCAGGCATGCTGGCTCACTATCGAAAATAAAAAAAAAAAAAAAAAAAAATTAGCCAGGCACAGTGGCGCACACCTGTAATTCCAGCTACTCAGGAGACCAAGGCAGGAGAATCGCTTGAATCTGGGAGGCAGAGACTGCAGTGAGCCGAGATCACATCATTTTGCTCCAACCTGCGTGACAGAGCAAGACCGTCTCAAAAAGAAACACACACACACACACACACACACACACACACACACACACACAGACACACACACACACGAATGGCATAAGCTAGAAACTCCATTAAACTGTAAGTGAACTTAACACTCCAAGAGAAAATGAGATAGTGAGATTGAATTTTAAGAAACAAAAAAAAAACATGACCCACCTATATAATGTGTAGAAGAGGCACTCTTTAAATACAAAAACACAGCTAAGACGAAAACAACAGGATGAAAAAAGATATCTATGTAAACATAAGTTATAAGAAAGCTCTATTAACATTAGATAAGTAGACAAGTAATATGTGGGCTTCCTACTTCTTTGATGGAACTATTAAAAACTGAGAATATGAGGTTGGTGCAGTGGCTCAGACCTGTAATCCCAGCACTTTGGGAGGCTGAGGTGGGCAGATCACCCGAGGTCAGGAGTTCAAGACCAGCCTGACCAACATGGTGAAACCCTGTCTTTACTAAAAATACAAAAATTAGCCAGGCACGATGGCAGGTGCCTTTAACCCCAGCTACTCAAGAGCCTGACATGGGAGAATGGCTTGAATCTGGGAGGCGCAGGTTGCAGTGAACTGAGATTACGTCATATACCCTAGCCTGGGTGACAGAGTGAGATGCCATCTCAAAAACAAATAAAGAAACAAATACCAGAGAATGGTACACTTTAAATTGCTGCATTTTGTGATATGTGAATTACATGTCAATTTCTTAAACTACCTGGTAGGAGAAGGAAGGCACTGCAAATGATATTTTGGTTTTGTAATTAAACAAGAGATTTCTTCCTCTCTCCCCAAAAAACATCCTCTTTCAGTTTCTACAAACTTCCTCCTTCCCTCCCCTATCCATCCACCAAGAGGAACTTTTATCTGTTCCCACCTAACCAAATTAGAAGCCTTTGTTTGTCTTTTAACTTGAGGCCTGGTAGGTAAATTAGAAGTCCCATGTCAAGAAAGAGAGGACTCCCAGAGCCCTGTTTCATCTGATCCTCCCACACCCCATGACTCACTTTACCCTGTAACAGGCTTCCCTTCTGGTTTCCCATCTGGAATAAAGAATAAACTTATTTTTCTTATTCACCAATAATTTATATAAACCACAAATTGCAAACAAGGGTGTCCTTAGCAACTTGATCTCATTCTCTTCAAATACCAACTGCTCTCCAGTAAAGGGATTGTCTTTCAAGATAACATAAATTCACTTGGAAGTCTCACTTAGAAAAGTCAAGGTCTTCAAATGTTTGCTGTGGGCAAAGCATTTGCAGGAATGCATGGGGCTGAAGGTCAAAGGCAAAGAAAACAAGGCATAAATTCTTTTGCCCTCATTTTGTTTGTCCTTGTACGCCCATGGTTAGTAATTAGTAAGGTCACCTGGCAGTGACAAAAATCTTCTTTTGAAGGGTTTTTTTTTTCTCTTTTTTTGAGACAGACTCTTGTTCTGTGGCCCAGGCGGGAGTGCTGTGGTACAATCTCAGCTCACTGCAATCTCCACCTCAGGGGTTCAAGAGATTCTCCTGCTTCAGCCCCCTGAGTAGCTGGGATTACAGGCACCCATCACTATGCATGACTAATTTTTGTGTTTTTAGTACAGGTGAGGTTTCACCAACTTCTCCAAACTGGTCTCAAACCCTCACAGGAGAAATGCCATGTGATCTGCCCACCTTGATCTCCCAAAGTGCTGGGATTACAGGCGTGAGACACGTCGCCTGGCCAGGTCAATTTTCTCTAATGGAAGTAAGAAAACAGGTATGATCCAAAAATCACAGATATATCAAAAATTTCAAAACAGTGTTGGAGGCCAGGGGCAGTGACTCATGAGTGTAATCCCAACACCTTGGGAGGCCAAGGCGGGAGGATCACTTGAGACCAAGAGTTCGAGACCATCCTGGCCAACACGGCGAGATCTCATATCTATAAAACATTTTTTAATGATACTGGAAAATGCTAACTTGGGTAATGACAGTTTCAATGCATCATTGCCTGACCTTCTGGGTTTTGCTCTGAACCTTGTGACAGATGATTAAGTCATGTGTCCAAGCTCAGGGACTTCCTGTTGTACAGAGATGATGCTCCCTGGAGCACCGCGCTCCAATCCCCCTCCCTTCAACTAGTCCCAGTATATCCTATTCAGCCCAGACCAGGACAAGCCCCGCTCAGGTCATCAGCCCTGCCCAGGCCAACAGCCTAGAAAAGATCCCCATCAACGCCCGCAAAGGGCAGGGTGACTCAGTTCACCCACATGGTGCAGGCCAGCTGCCTGCCTTGCACTGTCTCCAGACCTGGGCCGGTGTACAAACTATGCAGCCAGGGCCCTGTGCTCAGAAGAATCCCTAACACTTGCTTGAATGCTCTGCTGCTTGAATCATTTTTTTTTCCTTTTTTCTTAGACATATGGTCTCGCACTGTCGCCCAGGCTGGAGTGCAATGGCGTGATCTTGGCTCACAGCAACCTCCACCTCCTGGGTTCAAGTGATTCTCCTGCCTCAGCCACC